GAGATGTGGTGGAGTCCCCATCACTGGAGTTTTTCAAGATGCAGTTGGACAGGGTGCTCAATCTCATCTAGGCTCGCTTTCCCTTGAAGGGTTGGACCAAATGATCTTTTAGGTCCCTTCCAACCTCGTCTGTTCTATGATTCGGTGATTGTTTCTATGGTTGAATTTTCATGGATCTTGCACTCTAAGATTCAGTCTTTCTTCCACTTTTCTGAACTGTGCCTTTCTACGTAGGGACTGCCTCGATGTGGATCAGCACTGCTGCAGTGCTTCCCCATGAAGTCAGTGTGCAACACATGGCCAGCCCAGGAGGACTGTAGTCAGCTTATTGCTTTATCTGGGTCCAAGTGAACTTCCATGCAAACTTTTGAATCCATAGCCTAGCCCGAGTGGTACTGTCAGTGGGCCTGGTGTGTTGCCCAGCCATTTCACTCCCTTTCCTAGCCCTGACTTGCTTTGAAATGACAACAGTTCTTCATAAATGAAGCTGTAAAGAGCAAAATTAAGAAAAACAGAAACAAATTACAAAACAAAACAAACCAGAGAATTCAATCTGGATGGCAACATCTACAAATGGTTTGGTTTCTTTCCCACTAGATCTAGAGATCAAATTCAGTTCTTCATCTTAATTCCCAGTTTTCATGGGTCTGTTTAGAATACTGACACATTGCCATGAATGGTGGCAATGCCAGAAAATGTAAAAAAAAAAAAAAAAAAGACTGCCCCTTCCACTAAGATGTGAGTGGTCTGAGCTCTGTTCAAATGTAAGTCTTTGTGTGTCTCAGGACGAGTAATGTTAGACAGACACGTTTGTCTTGATTACTTGAAATACAGTTCACTAATCAGTTGAAGTCAGTTCTGCTTTGGCAATGAGAAGTGGCTTTTTTTGACATACATTCAGCTGATTCAGAGCATGGGAGGTAGCTTAGCTGTTCATGCTGGGTACAAAAACAGCGTTACCTAAGGCTTTACTGGTTAAAGGAAACTTTATCTCTATGCTGAATCTTTTTATAGGCAGTAAATCACTGCCATATGGGAAGATATCCTACGTCATCCCTCATAGGTACATTACCCAGTACTGCAGGCTGAGCAGACCCAGGAATTTATTTTAATTGGTAATGGCCGGTTTAATACTCACAGGCTGGAAATGCCAGCTTGGAAAGGGTGTCTCAGTTCATGGGAGTGTTTATCATTTAGATGGCCCTCACACAAACTATAGACAGTCTAAACACTAATGCTGGGAAGACCAGTTTAAATCAGTACTTAATGCTAGTCTATACTTAGCTCTTCCTTGTGTTTCCCATGAGTGCAATTTCAGCGATAGCAGCAGGAGTGAGCACTGCTGATGTCATGGCACTGGAAATTTCTTTTTTTAAATTTGAAATCAGAACACTATTTGCAAAAATAACTTTAGCATTTTAGGTGTACTTGGACTCCTTTTGCTTTAGTGTATATATAGTATTGAATTAGTGCTAATGCTGCTATGGGCAAGTGGCTAAAGCATATGGTACTGTTCTACATTGGCTCACGAGGTGCTCTGAGAAGTCTGTATGCAGTGGATGTGGATGTTGTTGTTGCTAGTAGTTGAATTTGAAATAGCTGTTGTGATCTTTGTGATCAGTTTTGGGTCCCTCACTACAAGAAAGATATTGACATGCTGGAGTGTGCCCAAAGAAGGGCAACTCTTCTGGTGAAGGGTGGTGAAGGGCCTAGAGCACAAGTCTTATGAGAAGAAGCAGAGGGAACTGGGGTTGTTTAGCATGGAGAAAAGGAGGCTCAGGGGAAGACCTTAGCACTCTCTACAACTACCCAAAAGGAGGTTGTAACGAGGTGGGGGTTGGTCTCTTCTCCTGTGTAGCAAGTGATAGGACCAGAGGAAATGGCCTCAAATTGACTAGGGGAAGTTTAGATTGTGTACTAGGAAAAATTTCTTCACCAAAAGGGTTTTCAAGCACTGGGAAAGGCTGCCCAGGGAAATGGTGGAGTCACCATCCCTGGAGGCATTTAAAAGACGTGTACATGCGATGCTTAGGGGCATGGGTTAGTGGTGACCTGGCAGTGCTGGGTTGATAGTTGGACTTAATTGCGAAGGTCTCTTCCACCCAGGACGATTCTGTGATCTGCTTCCTTTCAAATAAAACCAGGGCTAATCTTAATGTCTGGTTACTGGTGAGATAAGGTGCTTCATGTTCTAGGGACTACAGCATTGTTTGCCTGCTGTAATCAGTTGGTTATTTTATATATTAGATAATTATGTCCAGAAAGGTAATATAAGTATAGTAAATACATTGTTTAGCTTCATGCAGGATCAGGACATTAAACCATCTTGTCTTCTAGGTCAGTGCTTTGTGCTTGTGTAAGAAATCATCAGGGGCTTGAGGAACTTAATGCGTTTAATCGGCACTCATTTCACTTGCTCTGAAAGGGCTTTTTACACACAATTCACTGAATCTGTTTGCTCTCAGATGTTCTGAAGCCCTGTCTGTGTGGTTGCTACTCATGTTGACAACGGACAGTCCCAGGGTTGAAGGAAAGTATAACCTTATAGAAGGCATATGTCTTCTCTTTAGGAAACTGTTTTACAACTTAGTTGTACCCACCTCCATCTGGAAGAGAGCTGGGACACATCAGGTTTCTAGTATAGGTCCTTTGCTACCTTAGTCTTATAAATTCACCACTATCTTTTAGATGCTTAATCTGCTGTTTGGCACTGTGGCTTGGTCTGATAATCCCTAGCTAAGGAAGCTGCGTGTTGTTCGTTTGTAGTAGTCATCTGAATTTTGGGCTGTGGTCAAAAGGCTGCACTTGCAGTTGTAAGCAGGCATGTTCCTCTTGGTGCAGCAGTCCATGTGGCAGCTGACAAATTTGGAACCAAGGAGGGATGTCTGAAATTTCCTTCCAGTAGAGGGAAGGAGAGCTGGACAGAATGGCTTAGAGGACATGAAGACAAAGAATGATAGGAGCACTCTGAAAGGAAGGACTTCCTTGGTACTTCATTGAAGGCTGCCTGTGGATACGGTCATGGAGAGGATGACAGGTTGCAGAGATGGAAATTGCATTTTCTCCATATTTGATTATGAAGAAAAGTAGCATTTTTTTTTCCTAATAAGGTTTTTATCAGTTCTAAACATACTGCTGCAGCAAGAATTGCCATCTGTTTTCACAGAACTGCAGGATGTTTGGGGTTGGAATTGACCTGTGGAGGTTTTGAAGGGAAGAAGGGTTAGGGTGGTGGGGATTGATGTTTCTTTTCTTTTTGAAGAAGGGTGTGCTTAAAAGCTAGCATCTCTGACTTCTCTGCTCTGTAACTTGTCTAGACTTACACAAGTCAAACTATTTTATTTTTTCAATGAAACAGTGGCTCTGCATACAACAAAACCAAATAACTACCTTCCTCACCAAATCACTTTCCATGAACTTATTTCTAAAAGTATGGATTGCTTGCTCACATTGTCCTTTAATGGAACAGTCAGTAGCTGCATCTCACAGCTTTGTGCATAGCCTATGGATGTCAGGGTTGAAGGCCAATGTCTTCTAGAGTGACTGTATAAAACTAGAGGACCCTGAGAGCCCTCCTTGTTGAATTTGTTGGATCTGTCTGCTCTCAGTGCTGTCTTCTTGTTTCTTGATCCTAAGCCTGAGACTGATTCAGCCTGTTAAGTGAGAATTTAGTTTGGCAACCACTGTCTTCCATTTGGCTGTCTTGCGGTTGTTTCAATGCATCTTGTCTTCCTTCTGTCCTCTTCAACTTTTTATTTTCTCCCATTCCTGAAGTTATTGCAGCTGCCACAGCATTTCTGTTTTCCTTTCTGTCTTTGTGCCTGGCTCAGTGGACCTATACCGTGAGGGTCGTGGCTTCCACCTCTGAGAAATTTTTACACTCCAGAGTTTATTTACTGCAGATTTGATGATCCACAAAGATTTAGGGACTAATGCTTTTATAGTACTGCATATAGCAGCACTTGCATTCTTCTTTCCTGTAAGTAACAGGGATGGCTGGACTGCTCTGAGGCAGCTCACGGGCCCCAGCGAGCCCCGTGTGAGGGCTGGGGACAGGCAGCATGGGTGCAAGGTCTGGGCGTTAGCAGTCTATAGGCTGTGGCTGCCTTTATCAAGGAACTGCTCCAGTTTTGTTGCTGCCACCTGCTGAAACTAGAGTGTTCCACCTCGTTGAGTAGACCAGTGGGAAGCAGGTTTGCAGTTGAGATCTGAAGTGCCGCAATATCACTGAATAATAATAATAATAAAAAATGTCCCGTTCCCTGCCCCCTCCCTCCTCCCCATGAGGACTTCCAAAATGTGTGTTTGTTTTGTTACTTAAAGTTCAGCTTCCTGTGCAGCTTTTAGTGGTCCTAACTAATACTCTCTCTGCAGCTTTTAATTCTTTCCCTGCTGTTTTCTTTGGAATATGTCTCTGATACAGCTCTGCCCGGTATCTCCCGTTTTCTGAGCAGCAACTCATGGATGTGTTGAGCTTTTATGTATTGTCTTTAACACAAAAAAAAAAGATGCTCTTTCTTTGTGGTGATGAAAACTTCTGCATATACTTCAGGAAACCCTTATGATATTTTGAGAGGAGGAGTGTCTTATTTTTAAATGTTCTTTAGTTGCTTGGTGACTTTGCTTGACAAGATCTTGCTTGTTAAACTTGATTTGAAAAATGTGTATTACAAAAAAAAAATAATCAAGCCCAAACTATTTTCTAGCACTGGTTAAATGCTTTTGAAATTGCAGGGTTCACTATACACTTTTGTTCAGAAGGTAAAATATATTTACCCCTATAATTAATATGGCAAGTACTAAAAGAATAAAAACCCCACAGTCTACTTTGATATGCTATATATAGGACTGACTGGGCAGCAATGAAATATGAGAATTTGTACAGTAGCCTTAGTGACCAACTCTTTCTTTTTTTTTTTCCTTTCCTTTAAAGTTTGTATGATTTTACACTTGTTTAAAATGTCTTTTCCCCTTCCCCTCTTAAAGGTAGAGACCTGTGGGTTCTTGTTCTGGGAAGGTTTCCAACCCATCATAAGATTGGCATTCCAGAATTCAAGTATGTTGCTAATATGCATGGGGATGAGGTACGTTTCAACTTTTGCAATGTCATTTATACCAGTTACAGATCTTACCAAATATATCTTATCAGAGGTTTAGAGTGAACTTCTATCAAGTGTGTGCTGCTTATTACTGAGGTAGCTCATACCTCAAGGAGAACCTAAGAAGTGTGTATTTCTCGAGGAATTTCAAGAATAAAGTTTCCTTGTTTTGGTGGAAGGGCTTTAGGAGACTGTACATCATAGCAAAGAATCCTGCAATCCTACATCTAAGACCTCTCTGAAGTAGAGAGCTTTATCTTCCTCACATGAGTAAACCCAGTGGCTTTACCTTTCCTGGCAACCAGTACAGGCAAACTACTGCACCTGACAGTATTATTGACTAGGCATGAGGTATGACTGACAGAACTCTTCAGATACATCCTAAGTATGAATACTAATTGCTGCGAAGCACCAAAAGATTTATTTTGGGAAGAAAGTTTCTCTTGGGAACCTTAAGCTAGGAATACCTAGATTTACCTGAAATAGCACAGTGAGTGCAAAACAAAAGCAATGTTTGGATTAACATGCTCTGGAAAGAATGCCCACTCATTAATGATAAATTAAAAACAGTGGTTATGAGCTGTCCTGGTGTAGTACATGAATCTGGAACAGAAAGACTCAAAAATTCACTGTTTTCTATAATCTTTTCATGCTTTCCATTTTCCTTTTTATTTTTTTATTTTTTTTTAGCTTTACCTGCTTGTATTAGTCATGTTCAGGATAGCTTCAAACTACACAATGTACTTCTTTGCAGTCTTTAATGTGAAGGGTAAATAATTCAACAGAAATGGCAAAATTTGTATATATGTCTGTGCTAGACTGAATTCCCAAACCCAAGAAAAATGGATGTAGTCAGAAGTGACTGTGCAAAGCGTAATGCATCAAAGGCAAGTGCTGTTAGCAGTAGTGTGTGAGAGCACTCACACGCCACGGGCACTGGTGACATTGTGTGCCAAGAATTTTCCCCAGGTTAGACTAGTTTCACCGTGCTTGACAGTGGCTGTGCTCAAAGTGCTGCTGGGAGACTGACTGCTCTGGAATTTAACTCTGTGTGGGAGGAAGCTGATTCATGGTTTCAAATGGGTACGTGTGTTGCTGGATGCCCAAGAGAGGGTTTGCAGCTTCTCAAACCTGGTGTCTGTCAGCAGGATGGTTCAGGGTGCCTCGGAATGGAGGCTCCATTGTGTGCCAGTCCCTGCAGACTGCTGAAGGGAACTGCAAACCTGTGGCTACAGATGACCCAGCTTTGGTAGGAGAGAGATGGCCAGAATGGCATGGCTCTCAAATCCAGTACTGCTGGGCTGCAGAAGGCCACTCCTGCTGTTGAAACCTCCACAATGAAGCACTCCTGCCCTTATCACTGCCCAGCCGGATGTGCACGAGGAACTTTGACCACAGGGACACACCGTTTGCTTATCTGTAAGGTCAGGAATTGCTGGAGGTCAGGCAACCTGAATCGCTGCCTAGGGTCTTGGTTTTCATATCGACTGTGAGGAAATGAGGCAAGACTTTTTTTTAAGTATCTGGCAGGGTTCATCCTTGAGGTGCCTGCGTATGTACTCAGTGCTAGGCTACGTTCTAGCTTGTTCGTTAGACCAAGCATGTACCTAAGGAAGATTCTGGAAATGGAGCTGTTCCTTTTTTTCAGCCCCTCATGATGATCTTTTACCTCGTGTTTTTTTGTGTATGGAATATAACACAAACAAACTGTTGGTGTTTGTTTTTTCTATCTGAACATAAATGTATTTCAGATGGCAGGAAATGAATACTTCATATAGAGAAACAATGGAGAACTGGAATATTTTTTCCCCATAATCTAAGATTCCGCTTGACTAGTCACTGGGAAAAGATTCAAGTACCTCTGTAATATATTTAGCAGATAAGTTTTGCACTAACTGCATTACAAGCTTCAACTCAGGTTCCGCAATCTTTCATAACTTAAAATTGCAGGATTATGGCTTCACGGATCTAATTATGTCTTTTGTGCTTCAGTGATGCTTTCCAGAAATGGTACAAAGTGAGAACTATTTCTTGTATAGTGAACCATTTTCCACCAGGCTTCAGTATCAGCGTGATGTGGTGTAAAGAAGGTCAGAAGCACCAAAGATTTCAAAATTCAAAGCAACAAATTCTATTTCCTAGCAAGAGACTTTTTAAAAAAAAAAAAAAAAAAGGCAAGCCAGATGCTGCTGAGATCTTTCAATAGAGGTAGGACTGTTGCCTCACCCCAGTTGCCTTTTTCCTTATCTTTACTCCCACTCTTTCGAGTGGGAAAAGAAAGAGTGATCCATTTACCAGGCAGGTGAAGCCTGAAGCCTGTGGAATTTGTCCAGGTCTCAGGGCAGTTACCAGCTCAGAAGCAGGCGCTGTGTTGCCATCTCCTCCAGCGGCTGTGCGAGGGAATGCAGCTCCCTGTCATGCCCGTGCTGCTTCTCATAGTTCTGTGGTGGTGGCTACTATAGAAATAACTAAGTGCCAGACAGTATTTGCAGAAGGGGTTGCTTTAATAGCCAAGGGCAAACGCAGTGAGTGCGTGTCACAGCTGAGCATAGCGATTAGCGCGGGACAAGCGTTTAAAAAAGAAACATCTTGTAAGTGTGACATTTAAGTGGTAAATCAAGATGGACTATCGGTTTCTCTGCTGTAGCTCCACTTCCTCAGGCGGGGCTGAGCCTGGTATGCTCTGCTGGCTCTCTAGAGCAGGCAGGGCAGGAGCAAGGAGACTGGCAAAACCATGTTGCTCTGAAACGGGTCCTACCTGATGGTTTGGATTCAGTCCAACTTTAAAACCAGGCCAGGAATAATTTTGATCATAAAAATGGGCAGAGTCTATCTGCTTGTAGTCCCCTGGTATTACACCTCTATCATGTGGTAACAAATATGTTTTAAAGACAGGGCTGCAGTGGAGTGTTACAGTGCAATTGGGGCTAACCTTAATCTTCTAACTGGCTGCCACCAGGGTTTCTTGAGCAAGCCCTTCAGTAGCTGAGCAGTGTGCTGACCCAGCCGTGCCGGAAGCGATAGTCAGCAAGTTTAAGGGGCAGTGTCTACAGGAAGAGCAGTCACACCCTTTTCTGCGGTGCTGATCCGTGCCCTGACACATGCTGTGTCACTCAGGGCTTCCCCTGAGGGCCACCGAAAGCCTTTCCTGCTGGCTCGCTCCCTTTGGGGTACACAAGGAAAGTGACAGCTGAAGGAGCACAGAAAAACCTTATGTCTAACTGTATCCCTAGATGTGGAAGAAAGGGGTTTCTTTTGCTTTTGTTTCACCCCTCATTTGAGCTACAGCAAAACAGTGCACCTGGATGTCACCCTTGGGATACTGCAAGTGAAACCAAATATTCATCATGTCTCCTCAAAGCTCCAGAGCACATAAAGGCTGTACCCTGCTCTCTACATCTTTGTATTAGACTAGAGGCAGGGTAAGGCATCTGTCCTTGACCTCACTGTTAGTAACTTACCTCCACTGTGTATAGACCCTTCATTTGAAGCTCTAAGGTGAAAACAAATGTCTCGTAACTTCTCCCCACAGGTAGAGCTGACCTCTCTAGTAACAGGGTAAAGCTTGGCTGGGTAGCAGATGCTTCCAAGGGCTCGATCAAGACTTAAGCTCTACTTTCCCAGAAACAAACAAACAAAAATATCCCTTTCCTGCCCCTCAAACACCTCCAGATGTGCTTTCTTAAGGAATGCAGGGTACTCTGGATCACCCCTCCTCACTGCACCAAACCAGCATGGTAATAAACACATCCCTCCCCAACCAGGGCATGATCAAAGTACCAACTCCCTGTGACAGAGCTTAGCTGAGTTTCTTAATGTACCAAGTACTTGGGTACAACAACAGCTGTACAAGGAATCCTACAGAACAGGATTTGTTTTTGAGATACTGTGTATGTAAGTCAGTCTGGGTTTAACTTTTAAGTGCAAAGAATATAATCTAGGAAAAAAACGGTCATCTTTCATTCATTATAAACATTGTCCTTTTTCACCACTTTCTCTTGTTGCTTTTCTTTATCTCTTTTTCCCCCCTTCCTGTTCTGGCTTCTTTACTCCTTTCTGGATGTCTTTTTGTCAGGCACTGAAGAGGAGCACAGGAGGAGGAGAAGCACTTTCCCAGTTTCTCCAGAGAGCAGTCCAGTCTTGTCTGTAGTTTAGCTAAATCTCTGTGGTAGGGCTGTCCTTGCTACTTCTGAGCCTGATAGTTTTATCTCTCATGCCCAGGGCCATGATTTGGCTGACTTTTCTCCCTTCCTTTCTTTCCCTCCACTCCATGTGCTTCCCAACATGTCTATCACTCAGAGCTGGAATGGAGCTGCCTGTACAAGACAGATTCTGTTGCAATCCCTTCTTAAATTTCGTAGAGTAAATTTATCAAACCTGCCAAGCAGCCTGCTTTCATGTTCTCAGGTGCTGTGCTGAAAGCCACTGGCAATGGAGGAGGCTATGTACCTTCTCCTCCCCTTATCAAAGCCCATTTGCTTGTAGTGTCTAGTAGAAGAACCACTTAGTTACTGGGACACGATATGCGTTTGTGCAACGTGGCTTCCCCTAGCAGATCACTGGATGGTGGCTTGCAGAAGGCCAGCAGGAGCTGGCAGGCAAAGGCTGGAAGACTTAGGAATAAAACTGGTGTGGGGCAGGATGAGAAGAGACACTTTTTTTTGGCCACTGTGACCAGCTCAAGCCATGGCTGCCTTCCAGTACGGTGAAACAGTGTGATCCACAACTGAGTGGAGTCAGGTTTGGCACTGTGTTGTTTATTTGTTTCTCCTGCAATAAACAGCAGTTGCCAGCTAACTGGCAAGATGTGGTTTGCTCCCAACCTGCAGGAGCAGTTACGCCCACCCAGCCCTCCTTCCCCCATCGTGTACCAACCCAGCTCCTGCGGGCCTTGCTCCTGCTGGACAGCGTCTCTGCTCGTGTTTACCTTAACACCTAGAGCAGGATTTGACACTTAAAATGGATCGATGTGAAAACTCAACAAGATATTAGTGCAGCAGATAGTTGTGGAGAAACATTCCTTTTCCCTTGCTTTATTTCACCCACCTTTTACCTTAGCCTCTACCCATTTGAAAGCAAGATGTTTGTCTGCAACACCAGGTTCATCCAGGAACGCCAGGCCAGGCTTCTCACTTCAGAAAAAAACAGAAAACAAACAACACCACCCCCCTTCCCAAACCCCACACAAACAAACAACAAAACAAAGCCAAATTCTCTGCAGTATTTACAGTTTAGTGGTGCAAGACTTAAAATAAAAGATGCTGTTGCTCTGAATTAGAGCCTGCAGTGATTTGCCAGGTTTTGTTCTTGAAGATAAAGTAGAGAGAAATTATCTCTAGAGCACATTTAGTGGCAAGTCTTGATTTGTTCCCATCCCAGACAGGGCTTCGAAACCCCATAGTGACTTTGCATAGGGTCACAGAGCTGTAAAAAGTGCTTCTGCAAAGTATGGTCCAGTGGACACTGTACTAGTGGGTTTGGGGGTAGACTAGGACTGTTCTTAACTCACTGGAACTTGACACTATTCTGTCTGAAATCTGATAGAGCAGACTAAAGGGAGGTGTCCTGCCAGCTTTCATGACTTGTACAAACCTACATGAACAAAAATACCTATTGAGCTTTCCTTCTGCCTTTCCTTGATTCAAAGCCAAAGAATTGTATGTCTGTGCAGTCTCATAAGAAAAACCTTTAAGTGTGAGATGGTGGGTCTTTGTTTTTTTCTTCTTCTGTAGCAGATTTAAAACAAAAGTCTGTGCTTCTGCCTACAGACCGTTGGGAGAGAAATGCTCCTCCATCTGATAGACTTCCTGGTGACCAGCTACAGACGTGACCCAGTTATCACTCGGTTGCTCAATAACACCCGGATTCATATCATGCCAACAATGAATCCTGATGGATTTGAAGCAACGAAAGTGCCTGATTGCTACTACTCACAAGGAAGGTGAGGGTGGGAGTAGGTAAAGGAAATGGGTGGGGAGTAGTAATCGGAGAGAGCCAAGAGACTGAATCATACTTGGTGGGGAGGACAGCTTAGAGGATGTGTTAGGGCTAAATTGGGCCTGTGCTGTTCTGGAGAGGCACTATTACGGCACAGAATTTTTGGAAGACTGAGTCAGACTGATGTTTATATGTGGTGCAGCTAAAGAAAATTGGTCAGAATGGTGTAATGACCTCAGCTTTTAGGCAGGAGACCCAGATTGCAAATAGAAGGGCAATTACCTATTTAGACCTGTAGACTTACAGAAAAAGGAGGAAAACCCCACCCACAGGGATCTATTTCATCTGGAGACTGCTGTAGCCCTTCTTAAAGAGAAAAAGGTGTGCCCAGGCTTGTTGGAAGGCCTTCTAGAAATGTGTTTAAAGATGATGTTGAAGGCAGATTTAGTAAGAGGGAAGAGTTACTCAAGTAGAGCTACCTGTAACAGGAAAAATCTTGTGCAGAAAGTTATGTAACCTAGTGCCGCATCCTGTGCTACTTTTACATTCTTTAATGTAACTGTTGCAGAGACTGAAAAGGGAAGGAAAAGTTTAACAAGCTAGAAGGGGGAAGAAGAGGAGAGAGAATGGGAAGAAATGCCAAAGGGATAAAGTTGGAATGTGCAGCAAAAGCAAACTCACGAGCTAGAAGTTCTCTTGGATCACTGGCCGTGGCAGCATCGGAAGCAGGTGAAAAGGTAGTTGAGGTAGTTTATTTCTCTAGGTGACCAGTGTAGGCCCTCCTTTTTATTAGGAAAGAAGTTTATTCCTTAGTGACTAGGAATAGATAGGACTTTTACAGAGGGTAGTAGTATTTTTTTTAATCACCTCACTGTCAAATAGAGTTTAAACAATAGAGTTTAAAAAATGAATACAGCTAATGTTCAATACTCTCTCTAGTCTTGTGCTGACCTGTCTGAGTGAAAAAGGAGAAAAGTCTTTGCGCAGTCTGGACCTTCAGGTGCAGGGAGAAGAGAATACATCCTGTGCTGGAGGAAAATTTTTTGTTCTGTGTCCAGAGTGATAACAATGTGTGGGGGAAAGCCACCCAGTAGTTACTGTGGTCTTCTCTACAAGTGGGGAAAAACACCTACAGAAGGACAACTTCCTCCTTACCTGGCCTGGCTTTTTCTCATTCACTAGTGTGTAGGGGTGTGCACGCTATAAGCATGTTAAATATTATGCACCATTCCCACCTGAATACAACAGAAAAGTTGTTTTATTGTGCCCTGTGAGAATTCCAGTGCTGCCAGAAAACGAACTGAAGTCCATCTTGTTAATGCTTGAGAAGATGTGCAATGGTCACCTTACCTGTTTCCTGCAGATGCTAGCGTGCCACAGAGCTGAAGTGCTGGGGGGCTGGTGGGGCGGGAGCGTCCACAGGCAAACCAGTAATGGCCGCGTCTCCTCCCTTCCGAAGGTACAACAAGAATGGAGAAGATCTGAACAGAAACTTCCCTGATGCCTTTGAGAGTTACAACGTCAGCATTCAGCCAGAGACTCTAGCAGTGATGAACTGGATAAAGAATGAAACGTTTGTTCTTTCAGCAAACTTGCACGGGGGTGCCCTGGTTGCCAGTTACACCTTCGATAACGGGAACACAGGTAAGCTGGTAACAAGGTCCCTTCTCCACAGCTGATGTGGTTTAGGAACATTAGCTGTACCACAGCAAATTTTATAAGGATTTCTGCAAAGTTTTTCCACCTTTGGAGCTGGGACGGGCAGACTTTGATAAAGCCCATGAGAATTCACTGCCTGATGTGGCTACCTGGGAGGTGTTTACCCTGTGTGTGAGGCAGCACTCTGTGCTCTGCCAGTAAGGGGAGCTACCTGACAGCTGCCTTTATTCTGCAGTTACCGGCTCTTCAGAAGGCTACAGCAAGTCTCCAGATGATGATGTCTTTATTCATCTGGCAAAAACCTATTCTTACAACCATGCCAGCATGTACAAAGGGACTGGGTGTGACAACAGGCAAACCTTTCCAGAAGGCATAACCAACGGGTATTCTTGGTACCAGCTGGAAGGTGAGAACATCGGTGATTTTTTTTTTTTTTTTTTAATCAACTGCTTCAGAAATGATGTTTTCACTTTCTCATGCCGTCCTTCATGATGAAAGGGCTGTGATTTTGCCCAAATTGAGGGGAGTAAGCCAACACATTCACACGGATTCTGAGCAGGACCTGGGTGTTCAGACTCCCCCTGTCGGCAGTTACACAAATAAGCGAGGCAGCCTCTGCTGCCTGGCTGCTCCTCAGCCGTAGTAGTCATCATTCCCAAAACACCACTGTGCTTCAGAAAGCAACATTCCATGTGTAACTAGGGTGATTAAGGTGATTTTCCACAGGAGGCAGTAAATACAAACGGAGCATTGAGAAATATTTTATTTGAATTACTCTTCTGATGGGTGTGATGCAAGTACCAATATTTTAACTCCTCTGTTTTTCTTCTAGCTTTAACTTTGTGCTTATTTGCAGTTGAATGCTGTTTTATTTCACTTTTAAGGTGGAATGCAAGATTACAACTATGTCTGGGGACAGTGCTTTGAAATTACATTGGAGCTGTCATGCTGTAAATATCCTCCAGAAGACCAGCTGGAAAAGTTCTGGAGAGACAACAAAGTTGCTCTGATTGAATACATAAAACAAGTACACCTAGGTGGGTATGTTGTGTGGGGGAGGGAGCTGAGGCTGAGCAAAGTGGGAACTCTTCAGCAGCCTGGGCAAGTGTCAGAGCTCACGTGTGAACTCAGGAGCTATTGTGTCTGAACGGCAAGAGCTACGAGGCCAGGGATGGGTGAGGGAGGAGGACTTAGAGGTGTGTCAGGTGAGGGGTGATGAGCTCCACCACCGTGGTGCAAGGGGCTTAAAATGCACTGGGCAGGAGCAAGGGACAGGCCTCTGGAGATGTCTTACCACACCCCACTTAGGGAGTCCTCTTCCCTGAGTAGCCTCGGGGCAGTCACTTATTTCAAGGGTCTCTAAATGTGTGTGTGTGCATGTGCACGGTATCTCAAGGGTCTTTGCTGCTTGGATTTTGCATTTTTGTAAGGCTTTTCTTGGTGTGATCTTGACTTGGCTGCTGGAGGAGGGCTGCTGCTTAGTGAAGCAGTGGCACCTCACAAAGAGTTGAAGGGTCTGTACAAATACGTTGCTTATCTTGCGTTTCGTTGCCCAGAGTGTCTGGCTGCTGCTTTATCTTTGCTTAGTGCCAGCACTGCCTTGAAGGCGGTGCCTGCGCATTTAGGGAGCCTACTCCAGAAGCAGACGTGGTCAGTATTCTGCCATTGGGAGATAGATAAGAGACTGACTTATTTAAAATCATTTTAAAACCCCAAACCATTGCTGAAGGTGGAAGCCCTTCAGTAAAAGCCACGTACAGTAAGTAGGTGTGATGCTTTCAGCAAACGAGATTTAGAAGCAGAGGTTAAGGGTGTTCCTTTCTCACTTAATGCCAGGGTAAACTATTAACAACCACAAAGGATTGTATTTCAACTCCCTCTAGTAAGAGAGAAGTGACTAGTGATATTATTAGACGTGCTCAGAATCGATGAAATAGCCTTTGAGTGCATTCAGCAACAAACAGTCTTTCTTGGAGGAGGAGGCCCACCACTGGTACAGGCTGTGATCTCTCTCCTCTCCTCTCCCTTTTCACAGGTGTCAAAGGTCAAGTTACTGATAAGCATGGGAATCCTGTTCCCAACGCCATCGTGGAAGCGGAAGGCAGGCGTCACGTCTGCCCCTACAGAACAAACGAGCAGGGGGAGTACTTCCTCCTCCTCCTGCCCGGAACCTATGTCATCAATGTAAGTGCAAGGCCTCCCTAAGCTACAGTGTTTCATTGCACGGGGCCCCTCAGCAGTGAGGCTGCATCCCTGCAGACCTGTGAGCTGAGCCTGCTCAAGTCAATCACAGGAGCAGCTCTAACAACTTTTTACACATTTAAAAGAAACCAGTATCTTCAAGCATGCCTCAGCAGAAAGGGCATTTTTTGATACAGTAAAATCTTGAGAATGTATAGAGATAAGGGCTGGTCTGAGCTGCACAGTAGAGCCAGTTGTGGTCCCAGCCTCTGGGGCACGGTGACACTGGCTTGAGGCGTTTGAAACAAACAGCAGAGCTCTTGGAGGGTGAGGAGGTGGAGCTGGGACCCCCACAGCCCCCCGCAGTGACGGGCTGGCACCACCCTTAACGCGGCTTCTCTGTGGCGGCTGTCAGTAGCTGGTGCTAGAGAACATCTAAGCAGCGTAGGCTCTGCCTACTGCCAGCCAAGGGCTTATGCTTAGTATTAGACATAAATATTCAACTACTGGTTTTATGTCAGTTTTGGGGGGGTTTAGTCTTACTGCTGTCATGTGAAAACAACTCTTTCTCATTCTGTGTTCTCTAACTTGGCCACTGTTGCCTGTACGTGGCACACGTCGCCAAGCGTGCCAGACAACGACCGTTGCGTAGCCGAGCTCAGCGTTTCACACCGAGTGAGAGAGGTTTCTTCTTTGCTTCCAGGCTACAGTACCGGGGTTTAAGTCGATGCTGAAGACTGTGGAAATACCTGACAATACTGGTAACTTCAGTGCTGTGACACAAGACTTCTCTTTCTCAGAAGTCACTCTCAGATCAAAAGCTGCTTCATGTCCCAAAACTCCCCTCTACCAAGAGCTCGAGTGGGCTTCGGCTGCAGTAAGGCCAACTCTACACATCTTGCTTTTAATGACAGCTATACTTGTAATTTTCAAATAAAGTCAGGAATGACGGGACATGGCAAAAATCTTCCCGCACAAAAGTGGCTTTTCAGACAAGGAACTGTATATGCAAGAGAATGTATGTTTTTATAAACCAAATTAAGATTTACTATTGTGTTTATCATATTTTGTAAAATACTGGCTCGACAATCAAATGTTTTACTTTAATTGTAACAACCTATCGTATTTTTCTACATGAGTATTTTGCCCTATAAAGAAATTCTGTACAGCCTATGGGGATAAGTGTAGTATTTTGATGCAGAAACTGCATTCTGAAGAATGCCTGGGTTCAAAGAAGTCTAGGACTGTACTGCCAGTGTTTCACACAAGCCCAGGTGCCTTGTTGAGCCAATAGCTCGTGTAATAGCACAACTGTAAGCCATTAGCTCAATTCTAATTTCTCCTGATAAAGCTACAGCTGTAAAGAAGGAATAGCATTTTTACGTACACTCTCTTACCAGGCCAGATGGCACTGCTCAGGGCTGAAATGGGATAAACCAGGTAACGCAGACAGGTCCCAAGACAAGGAGATGGAAATGAAGTGTAAGTGGGTGCCGAAGGGGCACCGCGCTGGAAGCTGGGTGACAGCAGAGAGTAACTTGGGTCTCTGAAAACGGTGTCCCCTAAGGCAGAGCTGTAGAAAACAGTGTGGAAAGTCACTGACAGCTTTATACAGTGGCTGTTGCCCATTTTTTATGGAATTTGGTATGGAACAGAACCGCATCATACAATTCATTATTTCAAAATTTGAGTAGTTTTAGCACTGGCTTTAGAATGTGTGTTTCACAGCCCTTGATACTACAGGGCGGGTTGGAAGCTGGCTGGCACAGGCAGAGCCTGGTCCAGAGGCTGGTTTCGGGGGTGGCTGAACTCTGTGTTCCCCTGGGTGGGCTCTACTGCCTGCAGAGTGAGCAGATTCCTTCTCCATGCAGCTGAGTGAAGGCAGAAAGAGCCTGCAAAATTAAAAATCTGTATGAAAACCAAGCAGCAGAACTGTTAATCGATTAATTATCAAAAGAGAAGAGCACCAAGGAGTATATATACAAATCTTTATTTAAAGATTTTAAATGCAACATCATATCTGGCTTCCTCAGAAAAGGAAGAACAAAAGAGCCCAAAAGATAAATGCAATACAGGTAATTCTTCTCATAAATGGAGCTATACTCTGTGCAATTTGAGTGGATATTTCTATTTTGATGGTCACTGACTGTGGTAGTAGGTGCAGCAGGTGTCTAGAAGGTATGCACAAATTCTTGAGAGCATGTTCATCACTATAAACGGGCCTGTTTAGTAGTTGCTCCAGCTACATGTAGTCAGACAACAAAGTAAAATTCTGCTTCTGGAAAAGCTATTTAGTATTTTAGGTATTATGTAACTGGCGTGTTGACAGCCATTAATGTAGCTCAAAACAGAGAACTTTACGATCAGGCTGTTAAGTTAAAGCAACATCTACTCAAAAGGGGAGACAACACCTTTTTAAGAATTGCCAACAAATTTTACACGTACCATATACATATGTATGTACACACTATAGAGGGGTGATCCCTTAAAGCTTTCTGTGCACCTGTACTAAGTAAAAATTTAAAGTGAAATTAACTTTAATTAACAGTTAAATTTAAAATGTTTTGAGTATGTCTTCACTTTGCACTTCGCTCCTTGGGTCAAGAGTTGACTCTCAATACTAATAACTAACTATGCAGTGGAGAAGTCAGGCTGAATGGAGAAGTGGTTGGACAGACGTGAGCCCTCGCAGCCTTTGTACGTAACTCCTGCCCACCCGAAGCGCAGGAAGGAAGGTACTTTATATTGTTTGTTATGAAATCACGTACTGTCACATTTTGTCAGGGTCTGGCCACCCCTTCAACTGTCTCAAGTTGCGTGGCCCAAGGCAGAAGCAATTACTGCCTGCTGCCAACGGCCCTTGTGACCTCCCAGCACCTCCCTGCCCCCCAGCTCTTCCCAGGAGAACAAACACCACCAGAACGTTTTCAGCCTCCGCCTTTGTAATAAACATTGCTCAGGTTCAATGCAGAACTTTAAGGGAAGGACAAGAGAAATCAAAACCAAAAATCTTCCTGTGCCCCTCTTAATCTAAATATAATCTGAATACTTCTCTTTATTTTAAATGCTACATTTTCTTAAATATTCTTCTTGTGAAGGTGATTTACTGAATATGCATATTTATGTATCTACACATGTACCAATAGATTAATTCAATAAATTAAAGCTCAAAACACTAACTGTAAGCACAAGAGTATTTACAAATTGCAATAAATTAAGGATTAAAATCTGTGCGATATTAAATAAGAATCTCAAAGCCCTCACAGAGTTAGAACAATTCCAAACTTCTGTACTACAGTCTTGCTGACTCCTGTGCCACCACGCAAGCTCCGAAACCTGTTTGCAGGCCAAAGAGAACAGGGTGATGAAGACCAGGCTGGTCACCACCCACCCCACATGTACCGAGCACTGGTCAGGGTGAGGGTGCAGATGCAGACCCCAAGATTCCAGCTTTTAGGACCAAGGACCTGCCCTGGGCTGGGGTCACAGTGTCACCCACCTGTGCCCAAACCCCCCAAGCTACACTTGCCCGCCAGCGCCTCCTGTAGGGACTGGAGTAAGAAAGCAATGCTCATCCCTCCCCTCCTCGCAAAGCACACTTTGGGGGGGAACCCAAACCAAACACTAATTACTAGAAGTTACTAAGAATAGGATTAAGCTAGAAAACGTAACTCAAAACGGAGATTTACTCTGACACCGTAGTTTGGCGCTAGATGCAGGAATCCCCAATTACCAGTTCAGAGAGTGCTCCCAGGGCTGCTCTCCACAATGGCAGACACACTGGGGAAGTGTGGGTTTAGATGAGAGGGGAAAGTTCAGCATGCCGTATGCTCTCGGTGTGCCTCGTGCCAAAACAGAAGGTGCTGCTGGGCAAGCGAACGGGTTTTGAAGAAAAATCCCAGGAGATTGTGAACAGCATGGATCACTGCTCCAACCCTGCATGCCTTTTTCAGCTGGAATATTTTTTAGTTAAATACAGAGATTGCTTCAGGGGCTCGAGTGGAAGGGAAGGCCAAGGGCAGGACAGGGCAGTACCATCTGTCCCAGCAGGAGCCAGGTGAGCACAGCTGCTCCCCAGAACTGCACTCACAGCCACCACCCTGACAGGAGGGAAGGCATCACACTGAAAAAGTGTAAGACAGAGGAGACAACAGGATGGACAAAACCTTTCAAGCAGTCACCGTGTTATCAACGCTTCTCCTGAATACACACATCTACAGAAGCAGAAGTGCAGAAGAAGAATATGACTCTCCCCCAGTATTGCCCGATGGGGCTTTCCATAGCATCTCCTTCATTTACCTTTCTTGTGCAAGTTTTTCTCATGCTGCTAAAATAATAATCAGGACAGTACAGAGCTCCAAAGCCACAAACCATTTTCAAAGGCAGTTTCTCAGGATGTTGAAGAGATCTAGACTAAGACTGAACTTGGCTGCGTGACTTCTCAGGACACAGGCAGCCCTGAAGTTTACAACACGCACTACAAAAACAGAAATACACACGGTACCCTCTTCTGGTTTCAAAACCTTAAATGGTTTCCTATTGCATCCTTCCCCACTTCCTGGTAAGATGTCCCCCCATTATTTCGTTACCTGGAAGAATTTAAGTTTTGGGAACAAGGGAGACAAGATTCTATTTATTAATTTTATTGACTTATTCAGAGGGTTCCGATTCAGCCCAGTGTCTTCACCAGGCAACAGATACTGGAATGCAGACAATCTTCTACCCCTTCATAAGCATTCAATTTGGGGTTTTAATCTATTTAATCCAGTAAAACAAATGCGATTAATTTGTATGGAACATAAAATGCTTTGAGAGGAAGGTAGTTTACAGGAATTGGTTATTTCTATTGAGAGGGATTTAAAATCTTCAAGCTGACTTATGGACCCTAGGCTAACCTCTTAACAACTCCAATGCATTTATTTCAGCAATGACTTTTCATACCAAATGTAAAGAGACTCAAAATATTATTTTTTCAATACGTGTACAAAAATAGTTTCTTACTCTCTCAGCGGGTTTATGAAGGATTTTTGCTGCTCTCTAATCGACATCCATCTAACTAAAATAAGTTAGTACAATCATCTGTATGGGCTGTCTGCACACCGGACAGGGTTTGTTCCTCTTCTTAAGTTTTCTTGCGCACGTGAAACACGACATGAGGTGTCCTGTTTTGCCATGCACTATGCAGCCATTTTTAGGTCTGCTCTGACATATGACACAGGGTTCTATGCTACTAACAGGCAGGCTGGATTCCACAACTTCCTCTTTGTCTTGCATTTCCTTCTTCTCGGGCTCCTTATAGTCCTCCTGACTGCTACAGAACATGCTGCTTGACGTTGATGGCTGGGAATAATCTTCACTTTCCTGAGACTCAGAAATTTGTACTGCCTTGTCCTCACTCTCCTCCACAGCTGGTTCTTTTTCTTCTGTTATTTTCACTTTCTTGCAGTCGGGAACATCAAACCCTTCTTCAGGCTCTAGAGGTAATGAGCTTTCTAACTTGCTCTTCTCCAGCTTATCCCCCTTTTCATCCGGAAGCCAGTCCTCACGAAGGGCCCAGCATCGGTGGCAGTGTCGTGGAAGGGGAGGGTTCATTTCGCTACATTCGGGACACTTCCAATAATCCTTCAGTGAAGTAAAGGGTGGAACAACTTAAGCTACTTGGAATGCTTACAATCAAATATCTAGAGATTACAAATGACTTATTACTGCCAAATAATAGTTAGCTCGAGCTACTGACTTCTTTATAATTTAGAAATTCTATTCAGTGTTTGGCCTCACTTTACAGTTCTAGATTGAAAGTCTTGATTTTAGAACGCCTCTCTGATTTTCTCTCTTTTTTTTCTGCAGTAGATTTGTGAAATAGACAGAGGCAGAGCAATTAACAATGTACTATTTCTTATGCAAAACTGAAGAAACCAGATCACAATAGTCTTCAGAGAACCTAATGCAAAAC